TTCATATATGGCATCTGGTTTAATGCTAGTGAAAATTTAGTACACAGTCGTTGAAATTGTTGATATTGATATTTAGCATTTGATTTAATGTTGTGAAAAGTTTTATACACAGTTGTTGACATTGTTGATATTCATATTTAGCATCGGATTTAATACTGTGAAAAGTTTTGTACACAGTTGTTGACATTGTTGATATTCATATTTAGAATCTGATTTAATGCTGTGAAAAGTTTTGTAGACAGTTGTTGACATTTTTGACATTCATATTGAGCATCCAATTTAATGCTGTGAAGAGATTAGTACACGGTGGTTATTATTGTTGACATTCATATTTAGCAACTGATTTAATGTTGTGAAAAGTTTATTACACAGTTTTGACATTGTTTATATTCATATTTAGCATCTGACTTAATGCTCTGAAAAGGTTAGTGCACAGTTTTGACATTGTTTACATTCATATTTAGCATCTGATTTAATGCTGTGAAAAGGTTAGTGCACAGTTTTGACATTGTTGATAATCATATTTGGCATCTGACTTAATGCTATGAAATGTTTACTACACAGATTTGACATGATTTATATTCATAATTGGCATCTGATTTAATGCTGTTAAATGTTTACTACACAAATTTGACATTGGTTATATGCATAATTGGCATCTGATTTAATGGTTTGAAAAATTTTGTACACAGTTGTTGACATTGTTGATATTCATGTTTAGAATCTGATTTAATGCTGTGAAAAGTTTAGTTCACAGTTTTGACATTGTTCATATTCATATTTGGCATCTGGTTTAATGCTGTGAAAAGTTTAGTACACAGTTGTTGAAATTGTTGATATTGATATTTAGCATTTGATTTAATGCTGTGAAAAGTTTTATACACAGTTGTTGACCTTGTTGTTATTCATATTTAGCATCTGATATAATGCTGTGAAAAGTTTTGTAGACAGTTGTTGACATTCATATTGAGCATCCGATTTAATGCCGTGAAGAGATTAGTACACGGTGGTTATTATTGTTGACATTCATATTTAGCATCCGATTTAATGCTGTGAAAAGTTTAGTGCACAGTTTTGACATTGTT